AAAGGCAATGTCAGTGTCTTAATGCAAGCTTTTTTTGTTGTGAAAACTGTGACTAGATTATTTACAGTAAAGAATGCAAACAAATGCCTATTATTTCAAGGCAAGCATCACTGTTATTGTCACCCATAATTAGGTTTAGGAACTTTGAAAAGCACAATGATGACATATGAGGAATAATTGTATCATTAATTACCTTTAGCCGTGATGCTCACAGTCTCTGGACTGGACATTTGTTTTTGTATTTTTTTGAAGGTGCCATCTTCATTCATGTTTTCCTGCCATACTTCACACTGGTATTGGCCCTGGTCCTCAGCCCGAGCCGAACAGATGGTCAGCAGGTAGTCCGTGTGACTGGTTTTCACTGCTCTCATCTCTGCTGCATTCTCTCGCTCTTTGTAACTGTCAAACATAGTGAGCACCCCAGAAGATCCAATATGGGCCACTTTCTGCTGGTTCTTCAGCCAAGTCACCGAGAAGAAATGACCAGGAAGGTTCTGTGCATTCACACTGCAGCGGATGTCCAGTTCGTCTCCCTCCTGTAGTGGCCCCTTTGAAGCCTTCAGATGAACACTGAACGAGCCTGCATCAGGGGCCACTTTTGAGACACAGGAAACAGCATGAGATTAAGCAGGTTCTCTTACACAACTTCCTGTGTATGACTGCACTCATACTCACTCAGGCATTACAACAGGTTCTGACCTATATAGTTACATATGACATCCGCTGTCCATTATTATGCTACAAATGCATCTGTAATTTGGTAGAAGCTAGAAATGCCATCATGGGTAGGCTGTATGACCTGCATTTATCCTCAAAAACATCTACAAACTACTTCAGGTAACAGAAAATTTGACACAAAATACATTAACACAGGTTCAGTGATTTTTGTTTTCTCTCTGCTGTGAATTATTGACTGAAAAGTGCATGAAACTATTAAAACTCAAGAGCTATTTAGACAAATGGGTAGATAAATGGGAATAAATATCAATATTTGATTGTAAGGATATTATTGTTACTTTTGTACATTAAACTTTGTCTTTCTTAAATGCTAAGTGTAAAATCTGGTTGCTGAAGTAAAAATCAGAGAGCCTCTGGTTTAAATTACAGAATAAAAATCTCACCGATTCGTTTGATCTCCACATTGCATGCTGTGGTGGTTTTGTGGGCAATCTGTGTCCAGGAACGGTCTGGGTCTTGGATCCACTCAATGGCTTTGCAGAAGAACTTCCCCTGGTCTGACTGCTGCACTTGAGGCATCTTCAGTCTGTAGGTTGTGTCCTCCACCTTATCCATGCTGATAAGACCAGCACGATAGCCATCCTCAAATCCAGCTCCTGGCTTTACAGTCAGATCTTTGTCCAGAGTAATGATTGGCCGGGGGATTTCATCCTCTTCACCATGAAGAAACCAGGTGACCGACAGATGAGTATGTTGAAAAGTCTGGCTGGAGACCTGGCACTCAAGCTGAAGAGGATCACCTTCAGACAAGCTCTGAGAGGGAGAGCCAGAGTATGATGCCTCCAGGGTGTCTGCAATCACTGTGGATAAAACAATCTTTTTTCCTTTTTTGTCATTGAAAATGTATTAACAAAGTGAAAAAAAGTGATCGACCAATATGCATGTTTCAATGCCAATACCAGCATCTAGAGAACTGATATCAGCTGATACTACATCAGTGACTGATGGCTGATGCAGTAGTGTTTAATATAAATATAGCCAGTGTTGGGAAGGTTACTTTGGAAATGTAATAGGTTACAGATTACAAGTTACCCTATTTAGAATGTAATAGTAGTGTAACTTTTTCAATTACTTTATTAAAGTAATTGGTTACACTTTACTTGAAGGGGTGTGCATAAGACTGACATGACACCTTCATAATCATGACATGACACCTACATAATCATGACATGACATGTCATGAATATGAAGGTTTTTTATGCATGTTTATGACAACTGTCATTAAGTGTCATTCGCTCAGTTATGTAATTTTTTATGCAAATATGACATTGTTTGAGATGTCTTTGTTATGGGCTATGGTTGGGGGTAAGGTAGAGGTAGGGTTAGGTTAGGGTTAGGTCAAATAATGTCATATTTGCATTAAAAATGACATAACTGAGCGAATGACACTTAATGACAGTTGTCATAAACATGCATAAAACCTCCTTCATATTCATGACATGTGTCATGTCATGATTATGAAGGTGCCATGTCAGTCTTATGCACACCCCTTCAAGTAAAGTGTTACCAATTAGACTATATAAAGAATGCAGGCAAACATGTGTTCATGTTTTTTTCTCACATCAATCATAACAGAGACTTTAAGTTTCCTGTAGCGCTGCAGGAGAAGAGGTTCCAATGGCTGCTGCGACCAAATCGGACATATTTTTTCCTCTCCACCAGACTCACAGAGATCCTGAGCTCATAAATCAAAATGGCTTGTCTGTACTGTACTTGAAGGACAACGAGAATGGGAAAGTGCCCTTTTCATTTTCCTCTCTCTTTTGGACATTTATGTAAGAAACAAATGTATTTATTTGTGCCTCCTGTTTTACTACAGTAGCAAACATAACAAACAGCAAATGAATCATTTTCACATGGAGCCACAGCTCTGTTCATCACTTATTCTCTCTTGCAGTGAACCAGGAACATCAGGGCCATTTTGAAGATGGATTGGCACTGTTTTTGAAGAGCTCTCGCAGACATGGAAGTGGATTTACAACAGAGAAGCGGCAGTGTGATCTAGGGGGCTTTGATGCCATATGGAATGTCATATGGTGATTAATAAATTCAAGTGACAGAAATGTCTTCCTTTCCAGAGAAGCAGGGGGTGTCTGCGGGATAAAGTCAGCCAATGAGGCCTGCGAGGTGGAGAACTCACAGCTCAAAACAGGCCCAAAAATAGAAGCATGTCCAACAGAGTTGGTAGCTGGATTTGAGTGCATTTATACCACACTGTAGAATACATTTTTCATGTGCAGAACGCTAGAAAACCACTGCTCAAGTCCCTCATCACCATCATGATTAACAATATTAGCATCCTGCCACTGTTTTCACTTTCCTTTGAGGAAAAGAGATGGTTTTTTTCCTTCCTAATACAGTTCTCTATAGGGTGCTAGCAGTCTTGTGAATAAAATCTGGGCTGTAAACCAAAAAAAAAAAAAAGGGAAAAGTTTAACCCTAGGGTGAGGATGAAGAGTCGATTCAAACTACTGCAGGGTTACTTGAACAAATTAGTCTTAAATTATCATGTGGAAACTGTTCCTGGACAAAAACTTGAAAACTGATACGTTAGCAAATTTTTACTTACTTTACAATGCAGGGTGGAAAAAAATGTGAACCCATAATTGTTTGACAGTCCATTTGCATCAATAACCTTCACCAAACATTTCCTGCAATTGCAGATTGTACCTGCACAGGAGTTGGGAGGATTTTGCATCATTCATTTTTATAAAACTTTAGTTGGAGTTCAGACTCAAGTATTCATGTCTGTTGTCATGCCAAAGTTGAGGTCAGGACTCTGGACCACTGCACAAGTCATGCTTTGGGTCACTGTCCTGTAAAACCCAATCCATACTTTTACACCCATAGACTACTGTTAAATGTGTTCTCAGGTGTGAAATGTGGTTTCTGTTGAGTTTATTCTTTAGCATGTTTCTGATGAAAAAGGAAAGCAACTATAATGAACAGTGTTTAGTTGTGAGAATACAGACTTAAAGACAATTAGATACAATTGAAACTTCTTAAAACTGTAAATCATGCAAGGATTCTGTGGGACATTGATGACAAATCAAAAGGATTTTTGGGTGGTCATTTAAATATTCGTAGCATTATGGCAAAGTGTGATGAAATGAAACATCTTGTCACAAATTCAAATTTGGATTTTTTTTATGTCTGACTGAAACATGGTTGAGCTATACTTCACCATCAGCAATGTTGTGCGTTCCTGGTTATAATATTTTTTAGAAGGGATAGGTTGGTGGGTAGAGGCGGGGGTATTATGTTTTATATTAAGGATAGTATTCTGTGTACTGAATTACAGTTAGCTTATAACTTTGATATTGAATGTATAGTTTTAGATGTTTCTCTTTCACCACAAATGTCTTTTATAATTATAGCAGTTTATTAGCCACCTTCAGCAAAAAAATAAATTTAATGATAAATTATACAGTATAAGCTTCTTAAATTATGTGATTTTACCCAAAAAGTTATTCTACTTGGAGACTTAAACGTAAATTGGTTAGATAAAACAGGAAGGAAGAAATTGAAAAATATAACTAGTATCTTTGATCTGAAGCAGCTTGTAAAAGGACCCACAAGAATAACTAGATCGTCTGAAACACAGATTGATTTAATTTTTACAAATAAACCTGATCACGAACTTAAGACTTTTAATATGATTACAGGATTGTCAGATCATAATTTAACTTTTATTCAAACTACTGTGAATAGTTTTATGAGACAAGTTAAAAGTAGACCAAGGAAGAAAAATTGCTTACCTTGGTTAAATGAAAATATTTGGTCACTTATGAAACAAAGAGATAATGCATTGAAACAGTTTCTAAAATCTAAGATGGAATGTGAGAAGTGAAATTTTAATAAATTAAGAAATAGAGTAATAAACGAGATTAGAAAAGCAAAAGCAAATTTTTATATTTCTATAACAGAGCAGGGAAAAGGAAATACTAAATTGATATGGGAAAATCTGAGAAATTTAAAAGGAAAATATAAAAAATCTGTGAGAAATATAGAACTATAGATAGAAGGAAAACGAATTAGCGATCATGCTATGATAGGAAATACTTTTAATAATTATTTTGTAGATGTAATAAGTGTTCTTGCTAAGTCTATTTGTCCGGATATTCCATGTATTGCATTGATGGATAGTCTTGTCCAGGTTTACTCTTAAACAGGTGTCAAATAGAGAAGTTGATAGAATAATTAGTTCACTTAAAAATTCAACAGCTAAAGATAAATATGGATTGGATACAATTTTTTTTAAAAACTCATAAGGAATTATTTACCGGACCTCTAACTCAGATTATTAATTTATCGATAACACAAGGAATTTTCCCTCTGCATGGAAATTTGGAGTAATTACCCCTGTTCATAAATTTGGAAGTTATACAGAAATTAGTAATTATAGACCAATAAGTATTCTCCCTGTAATGTCGAAAGTCGCTGAAAAATGGGTAGCAGAGCAAATAATCACATATCTTAATAATAGTGCCTTTTCCCTTCACCCTAAGCAATTCGGTTTTAGAAAAAATTATTCTACAGAAATGGCAAATTGCTTTACGTTGGAAAATATTACATCTTTGATGGATAAAGGAGTTGTAGTTGGTGCTGTATTCCTGGATTTTAAGAAAGCTTTTGAAACTGTAAATCATGAGATTTTACTTTCTCGGTTATTAAATTTAAATTTTTCAACTGAGGCCGTTATGTGGTTTAAATTTTATTTAGAAAATAGAAAACAATGTGCATGGGTTATAAATGCGACATCAGAATACTTGGATTATAATATTGGAGTTCCGCAAGGTTCTATTTTAGGCCCATTATTGTTTAGTATGTATGTAAAAGATTTACCAAATGTATGTCCTCCAGATGTTATTTGTCAAATGTATGCGGATGATGTTGTGTTGTGTTGTATGTACATGCAAAAAGTCAACAACAGGCTGCACAGAAATTGACTGACACTATGAATCAGGTTGCACAATGGCTTATCAACTCACATTTACATCTTAATGTCAGAAAAACTGTTTGTATGTTTTTTACTAAAAGGCCAGATTATGATGTGAAAGCAAATGTATTTGTCCAGGAACAAAAACTTGAGGTAGTACATGAATTTAAATATTTAGGATTATTATTAGATTCTCAACTTTCTTTTAAAAAACGTGAAAAAAATGGTAAATATAGTGAAATTTTATTTAGCGAATTTCAGATTTATCAGAAATAGTTTGACCAACGAAGCAGCAGTTCTATTCATGAATTCAATGATCATTCCTCATATCACATATTGTATGACTACCTGGACTCAAACATGTAGGTCTTGTAAGAATCTATAGTCTGCCCCGACCCAGATTCCACTCCACAATATGTTTGATCATGCTCATTTCCCAAAATGGCTTAATTATTATAGAGAAGAAGAAAGTCAACAGTTATGTTGTTTGTAGATCACTTGGGATGATCACATCCTGAGCAAATGGTGACCAATTGTAGAATGGGAGCAGGTGTGGGACACTGAGAACCACCTCAGACAAAAGGGGTGTCAGAACTTAATTAACATACAGACCACAGCTGTAACAACAGGAGCAACTTCCTTTACATTGAGGGTAAACTCTAAGTGTATAAAATGTTTGAGCTTAGGATGTTCGGGGTTCAGTATGACTCCGTTGAACCCAAGGTACTACATGTACTTTGTCACTACTATTCTGTAATAAAAGTTATTCTTCATCAAGATCTTCGACGTCTTCACTTTTCTTACAGTCTTTTCTTAAACCAGTTGAAATTATTTACAAACAAACTCTTAAGGTCTTGGATA